TATCACACTTTGTAATCTTTTCAAGGACATCATATTTAAAAATATAATCAGCACATACAGTATATAATTTTATACTGTAGCACTTGAATATGATTGGTCAGAGAGTGGTGATTAATTTTCTACACAACACAGCTCTGAAAGTAGTTCTGCTATAATTCCAATAACTGGGTGATATTAATGTGCTCATTCTAATACTTTACTGTTTCTATAGTAACAATTCATTCACAGGGATTTGTGTGGCAGTGCTCCACATAATTTAAGCTTAATCATGAATGGATGTTAAAAAAATGTGTTATTTTACAAAGAAAGATCATTGATATGTGAAGCTTGCTATAAGAAGATGTTTATTTAACATTTATGGAAGGAATCTCCAGTGTTACCACTTTGTAATGGTCAGTATGTATTCCGCCATGGGAAAGTCTTCAGGAAAGAGGGTTTTTTTTCGTTTATTAACTTAGAGAGAGTGGGTAAGAGAGGCTGGTGAGGGAATGATTGTTTATATATGCTATAATTTAAGTGATAAGATTTGTTTTGTGGACTTTCCACAACATTAAATGCAACTCTAAATGGATAAAAAGTACATGTTGCCCATTAAATAGCTGTGGTATAAGAGCAATAAAACACTTCGTGACGTGCTGTTTTTGTTGGGCTGCAAAACACCACCCCATTGTTGATTATTTTCCTATAATAGCACACCCTGTCATGTTTTATTCCTTACATAAACACCTCAGTGAATATGGACCACTGCCACTCTTTGGCAGCATCCCCTTATTCATGTTCCCAAATGGCAAGTGTGAGTCCATGCTTTTATTCTGATTCAGCTAATTAAAAGGCCTGGCCAAAGACAATTATTGCTTGAGCAGCTGAGTCAGTTCTGCTAGTCTTTGATAAATCCCCAACCCCAAATTGGCTCTTCATAAATAAATCATAAACAGACCTGCCGACCATGGCTTTATGGGTTTTTAGTGCATGGTGTCACAGTCTGGCCCTAATCAGACATCTGACTGTGCCATGTTCTTCTCATTAATGCAGCATCTTAAGCAAAAAGCCAATTAGGACTTTAATAGCAGGTGTATGGTGAAAAAAAATCATTGCAAGACCTTTAATGGGTGCAAATTAGAATTTGTAAACATACACTCCCCTTGACAAAGTAAAACACAACCGGTGCCCTTCATTAACATGTATAATCCACACTGGGGAAAAAGAAATGCATGTAAATAGAGTCAAACTGTGAATGGTAAAATGCACAGTAGGCTATACATGCTATTTAAGAACTCTGATTCGTCAGCAGTCTTTAAAAATGCAAAGTCAAAAAGGCTCTTTGGAAATAATTACAGTGGCAAATTATTTGATCTATTTACAATTAGTAGTTAATGGGAGCGTGCTCAGTTTGAAGGCTAAATGCAGGCCGTAAACAACCAATCACCATACCAAAAAAACCCAACAAAAACATATGACTGGAGTTTCTCTGTGACAACAATAAAGAAAAGAAAAGAGAAAAAAGTAGTTTTATGTATGAAATATCTAACTCCTTAGAAGTCTAAAAAAAGGCTTAGCAGACCTCAAAAGTGCACTTTCAAATGAACCGTTAGTTTGTGACTGCATGATGACAGCCCACTCGTCGCCTCTTAAAGCCTGCCAGCAGCCCAGGCTGATTGGGGAAAGGAACATGAATGTAATGCTCTGGTAATTGGGCAAACTGCTTTGGCAAAGGCAAAGCGACACACACAGTAATGATGGCTGTGGAAATGTGCAAAAAAAAAAAAGAGTTCAAAGAGCTCTGAAGTGGTATATAATGCAGCTGTCTTAATATGCGGTGGCATGCACTCAGATCTATTTATGATTTTTTTTTTTTTATTTCTGATGAAACGTATGCTATTTTAAACAAAATGTGCATATGTGCAATATATAATGCTCCAGCTCAGGGTTAAGGCAAGTGATCTTCAAAGGATTACCAGAGGATCTGTGCAAATAAATCACTAAAAATATAAACACACTGATATTATCCTATTAAAAATATGTTTAAGTATGTTTGTCTTGCAAGTGCAACATGTCTGTACTTCAGTATTCCCCTGACTCTGGATTGTGTGTGCGTGTATTGCCAGTGCAAGGCCTTGACGAATGTGTGACAGGAAACATGCTCCGTACTGCCTGCTGTCTTTCCCCTGGGTGTTCAGTAACTCTTTGACCTTGCGTTACATGCTGTATTCAGAGATCAGCTCTGTGTCCTTCCTTTCTCTCTCTCTCTCTCTCTCTGTTTTTCTCTTGTGCAGTTTTCTGGCAGAGGGTTTTACTGAGCAATCAGCTGAGAGCAGTGTGATTGCAGGTGATTTGTTACTGAAAATACATCTGTGACGGTCCACAGCAGGAGTGAGAACATTTTTTTTGTCTCCATCTGAAACTACACCTTCCTATATGTACCGTTTGAGTGTATCCATATGCATGTGTGTAGTGGGCTAGAATGAGGCTGTAGCTCATACTGATACACTTTTCGGATGCACACACACACATACACACACTCACACACACACACACACCCCAAAGCAGCAGGATGAACTGACCACAGCAGTGGGTTTGAGTGTGCCTTTGAACTTTCCTTGAGTCTTTTCTGAGATGGGTCAAATGGACTTGGTGGCTAGATGAAAGTTTGGATGAAAGGGAAAGATGAACCTGTATAACATCCACATCACAGCATATACGTAGCACACATTATATAAGTTCTAATCTGATCTAGGACATAATGTAGCATTTGCAGAGCTCTCATTTGTTTTCATTTACATTATCAATCAGTCTTAATTGTATAGCTAGACCAGAACATGTTATATAAAGTCCAGAGGTCTTTATGTAAGTACAAACTTAACACCGGAAAAAAAATATCCACAGAGAAATTGACTTTCAAATGAGCAAAAAGAAGAAAAGTATTTCTTCTTCAATTTGCAGACTTTCTTTATATGCAGTTTGGGGAGATTTTATCTACAGGTGCAAATACAGGGCGGTGTCTATGTGAATAGAATAATTCAGCACCTGCAATGCGATTTAAGCTGGAAAGTTACTTTGGGAACAGCGAATGTGGGCACAAAATAATATGACCAAAGGGTACTAATATACGGAGGACCACTTCTGACATTTAAAGTTAAGGAATTCAGGCCACACCTCTCTTGAATGGTAAAGTCTGATTGGTCAGAAGGTTTATTTTAATGCGCTCATTACACAGGGACTTGTATGGCGGCGCACCACATAAACAAATTAAAAACAAATGTAGTTGTTGATATGGTGACGTTTTCTGTGAGGTGACATTTATTTAACATTTTTTGGAAGGAGTCTCCGATGTCAGTGCTTTGTAATGGTCAGAGGTAAAACTGTTATTTTAAGTTTTCCCACAGGAAAGTCTTCAGCACAGAGTTCTTTACGGTTTCTTGGTAACCTGACAGGGTACATTTACAAGGTGACAAGGTGTTATTAACTTAAAGAGAGAGAAAAAAGAGAGTCTGGGGGGAAATGACTGTTTATAGCTGCTCTAAACTAAGTAATAACAGGAACTAATTTGTTTCGTGGATGTTCCACGACATTAAATGCAACTATAAATGGATAGAAAGTTCATATCATTCTTTAATTAATAAAATATTGTAATTGTTGGCAAACTGCTGTGGCATAAGAGGAATAAAACACATTCAGACATGCTGGTGAAGGAAAATAATCAAATAATCAACTTCATGGTGGTAACATACCACCCCATTGTTGATTATTTTCCTATAATAGCATGCCCCATGAATGTTTTATTCCTTACTTCCTACTATCAAGTTATAAGTATCTCATAAGACCTACTATCTCATAATAAAAAAAACCCTAAGTTATGATTAATATTACGGTGGTAGTAATAGTAGTTGTTTTCGACACACAGTCAGACTTCCAATGCCAACAGCATTCAAATGATTCTGTGAAAAATTTGCATTTACATATACCTTATCAAGAGAACAGACACACACGCATGCACACACACACACACACACACACAGTTTCCTATCTTGGATTAATGCACTTCTTGGTAGAGTAGGCTTCTGGTTGTTTTATTGAGTATGGTTTTAGTGTGGCTGCTGGTAAATTGTTTATTTCATTTCCCTAATGCTGTGAATTGTGGGGAGGACATACTCATATATATTGAGAGTGTATTATATCCTAACCATGCTCAATCTATTGTTGCTTCTGTACAGACTGGACTTCCTGGATAAGTATCACAATCATACTTCACCGTGTCTAGATATTACCCTACTCATTCACTTTGTTACTGTTACTTTTTTTTTTTTAGCCCAATCGTGTGTTAGTTCAAACTCATGGATCCAAAAGACACTGTACACAATGCTGAGGCTGTACTACCAGCAACCTCGGCTACTCTCCACTGACTGTCTCAGTCCAAATAGTGGTGGCAGGTGGGAACTGGAACTGCCAGTCTGTCATCCAAAAAACCGTCTTCATCTCAGCTTTAGCTTCCCTATCAAGCTTTCCACCTCCTGGCACTGACTGAGACCTGGATTAATCCAGACAATTCAGTGACCATGGCTGCTTCTTCATCTGCATATGTTTCCCTCACACTCCATGAGAAACTGGCAAGGGTGATTGCACGGGTTTGCTTCTGTCCCAGAAATGGTACTTGACACATCTTGCACTGACATATGTCCTCATTTGAATCTCACAGTGTTACTGTTATCTCTTCCACTATTTTGCTTATTGTTATTATTACTCATCACCTGCCCCCTAGGAAACGTCATAGAAGAGCTGGACATCTTTTTGTTTCTGGCCACTCCTCCTGCTTTCTCCTTCTCTTTTGACCTGACCTCTGGCACACAAGGGAGGAAATGTTCTGGATCTGGCCTTCAGCTGACCTTCCCAACTGTAGATAGTAACATAGCTCTGCTCCACTTTTCTTTTACTTTCCCTGCCAGTCAATGACTCTTCATATCCCTTCCCCACTTGCTGTATCACTCCCTTTCTCCTTCCTCTAGGGCAGTGGTGGCTCAGTGGTTAAGGCTCTGGGTTACTAACCAGAAGGTTGGGGGTTCAAGCCCCAGTACTGCCATGCTACCATTGAGCAAGGGCTTAACCCCTTCTGCTCCAGGGGTGCTGAATCTGCACTCTGACCCCAGCTTCCTAACAAGCTGGGATATGCAAAGGAAAGAATTTCACTATGCTGTAATGTATATGTGATAAATAAAGGCTTCTACCATATCCTGACTCCTTTTCCTCCCTGCAACTTGAATCAATCACCAATACATTCCTCTTTTCACATACTTCTTCCAATTACATCCTCTGCCCTGCTATTTTTCAGAGCAAGAAAATCTTCTTGTTCTGTTCCTTGGTTATGGATATGCTCTGCAGCAATTGCAGAGAATTAAGGGCAGCTGAGAGAAAGTGGGGGAAGTCACAACTTGCTGATCTTCTCCTCTCACCCCAATCTCGTTTATTGAAGTTCACCTCTGATTTGACTACCGCCAAGAGTTCCTTTTACAAGGAAAAACTGGAAATACCTGCATCTGATCCACAGAAGCTCCATAAAATATTTTTGTCTTCAATTCTGAACCTAAATCACCCATAACATATACTGATGACACTCAATTCATCTTCTTTCCACCCTTAAACAATCACGTTTCATCTCGTATCTCAGAATGTCTGGTAGACTTCCCATCATGGACGATAGCTCATCACCTGAAACTAAATCCCAGCAACGCTGAGCTGCTGTAAATCCCTTGAGATGCATCCTCATGTCATGATCTTGTGATCTCTCTGGAGAGCTCTCGGAAATCACACCAGCTGACAATGCACACAACCTTGGTGCAGTTCATACCGCAGGTTTAGGAGGATCTTACCATTTTTCTTCACAGAGGCCACTAAGGTGCTGGTTCAGTACATTGTCACCTCGAAAACTGGACTACTACAACTTGCTCCTGATGAGTCTTCCCCTGTGGACCATCAGGCCCCTGAGTTGATCCAGAATTCAGCTGCACAACTTGTTTTCAATCTTCTTGTTTTCAAAGTTTTCCCACATTTCCCCATTGCTGGGTTCCCACGAGATATAAAACACAGATGCTTGCCTACAAATCCAAAAATGGGCCAGCCCCCACCTACCCGAAGGCACTTATCAAACCCCACCCTGTACCTTGCTCCCACTAGCACAACTCAACCTGAACCATCATCCCTCAAAATACAAGAGGGTCTGAATAGCTGAGTCACTGGCTCTCTCCAAGACTGAAGACCCACCTCTTTACCAAGCACTTAACTCAGCAATAAATCCAGAAAACGGAAGAAAGAAGCAAATACCAAATTTATACTGACCTATTTGTACTAGCATGAGGATACAAAGCAGTTCTGTAAGTTGTTATGGATAAAGTCATCTGCTAATTGCTGTAGGTCATCTGCTAATTGCTGTATTTACATAAATGTAAATGTTTAGATTCTATTTGGGACCTGCTGCGGTGTTTAATTGTGCTTCAAGCATTTCAAGCTTTTAACTAATACATATGTATGGACTAGTATATACATATTCCTGTGGATTTCTTTTTAAAACCTTATGCCTTAATAAGAAATATAGAGTGTTTTAAATACTATCTGACAGATTTGGTTAGTCTGCAGGTTGCTGCACCATTTTGTAGTTTCTTGTAATATGGAACAAATAGGCAACTCATTTGAAGTTGGTCTGGCATTTGCATGGAATGTCCACTTAATAATGGACATTATGACAATAGTTTACAGCCAGAGCAATGGCTGTATACTGTATATATACAGTCTATGAACCAGAGCCACTTGGGACAGTAAAATGCATTGGAAAAGCTGTTCAAAACAGGATTTGTCTCTAACCAACATCTACAATTCTGTTTCTGCTTTTCTGTTTACTGTGTTTGCTATTCAGAAGAGACATGTCATAATTATGGGCTTGAAACACTTGACTTGAAAAACAGCAGCCATGAATGGAGTTGCCTATCTGTCTTACAACAAGTGAATGCATAAGAGTTTTATGCCTATGATGAGACCTTGTACTGTAAGGCTCAACCATGGTGGTTTCATAATAGTAACACAGATTTACTGATAGGTAGTAGAATTTTTAGCCCTCCCAGGCAATATCATGAGCAGCCACCACTGCCATAAGCTATTTAAGAATACTGTTTTTGTATTTATTTGATAAATGATTATATATATATATATATATATATATATATATATATATATATATATATATATATATATATATATATATATATATATATATATATGCAGTTATTTATATATATATGCAGTTATTTATATATATATATATCATATATATAAATAACTGCATCTGTATACATGTATAACTGCATCTATATATCCTCATGACACATCTTTTTTTTCATTTTGCAAAACAGATGTGACATTTTAATCAAATAGCAACGCATACACTCCTAATTGTTGTCTCTTAATGACCGACACCTGGTGTTGACTCAATTTGTACGATCATCTATGAGTTATGCACTTTTATCCCTACTGCTTTTCATCCCTACTGCATTCACAAAGCATTTCAGTATAGCCATGCATTTAGGCTAGATCGATTGCTTTTCAATGCACACAAACAGAGGTCTGTAAATAAAGCAAAACACCCAATCCTGGAAGAGACCTCCTGTTCTGATATGCCTTTTGAATACATGCTGAGATCCCAGCTTCAAACGACAACAGGGCCTCGGGAGACGAGTGCCACCGTTTCAAGGGCTCAACACAGCCTTGGGTCCTGCGGCGTGCGCCACCCGCATCTCCTGTCCTTCACAGAGCCACTGAAGTGTTTTTTTTTTTTTTTTTGGAGTGAAGGGATAAATGAACGGGGGGAACGATCAAAGGGAGAAGACTAATTGAGATGGAGTCTGCTCCCTGCCTGCAAGGATTCTCGTGCCTCACTGAAGATATCGGGATAATTACAATTGTCAGGTTGCGGCAATCAGTCAAGCTAATGTGCAATCACAGGTTGAGACCTGACATTAAAAGTGAAGTCAGGGATATTTTGTTGTCGTTAGCTCGTCCTGTAAATACCAGTGGCTTGATTTACCACTTTGTCCTCGCCATGTCTCTTTGGCTGATTGTAATGCGGCAGTCAGCGGGTGCATTAGGCCATGTGCTGGCTTGGAGTGCGTTTTATCTGAAGTGCGGTCGCCAGCTCCTTTGCTTCCCTGTTGCTTTCTTTTCCAGCTCTGATCTTTTGCCAGCTTATTTAATATTTATCAAAAGTTGAAAATACTCAATGCACACTAGCCCCCAATTCCCAAATCCTCAAACTGCTTTTTTGTGTAGCTCTGAGAATGCTTTTTTTTTTTTTACTCAAAGGAAAAACGTTCTGATATTTCTGTCATGTTTTCTAAGCCTGCTGAGAGCTGATTGATGTCTGACTGGCTCTTGCAGAGTCTTACAGAGACAAATAATAAGCAAATCTGACAACTAGACCCAGCAAAATGCCTTTCGGAGAAACAATATATCCCCCATGTTTTAATTGGATTATCACAGGGATATTAAAGTGTACACCAAACAAAACAGGCATTGATTTATTTAGAATGAGTGTGATCTGAAGCTGAGTCAGCCAGAGTGATGGTGAAAATCAATTCACTGACCAGCAATAAATCTCCATAATGTACCTGTTTAAAGCAGGTGGGGCTCTGAAACCCATACCGGCGCCTTACTCTGCAGTGCTAGATAAATATACTGCAGCTGGCAGATACTGTACCTGAGAACTGTAAATAAGCAGAGTGAATCGAGTATTTCAGCAGGATGTATGGGAAAAGTTAAAGTTCAGGGAAGACCTGTGAGCGCCTGGAGCTGAAGAAAGGTGAGCAGTCTCAAATATGCTGCAGGAAAGATCATTCTTATGCTGTATCTCTCACACACCCACACACAAATAAGCTGTATCTCCAACCACATACTAAAAAAGTATTTACTAAGGGCTAATGTAGAAGATCAGTACACTAATAATACTTTTATGTAGTTCTGCATGAGAAGAACTTTTGTAATCCAAATACGGCATAGGATAGTAGTGTTAGAGTGTATACCATTGGCCCAAGCATCTCTGATCAGCACAAATGTAAAATATGTTGTGAAAAATAGTGCGGTTATGTGTGCAGCTGCAATATCCAATCAAATCAACACTCATTTCTTTTAAGAACCAAGTGTGTGCAGTGCACCACACTGACATTTTCATAATAATATACAATTAGACTTTGCTTTGAGATTTCATATCTTATAAAATTTATAAATATATCTTTCAGGTCTAGTGCCACAAGCACAGAGACATGGATACAGCCATCGTTCCAAAATCCACAAATGAGTTTTTAAGAAAAATGGTTTCAAGGATTCAAGGCCAATTCAAAGGTTCAAAGGCATAAACAAGAAAAAGGCATTTAAAGTATGACATATAATTATAAGGTTTTGATTTCAGTAGCCTCAACTGAGACATTCTTATTCGTTATGGATCAAATCGTTCATAGTGTATTTAGTTATTACTTGAAATATCCTATTTATCTTGAAGTGGGGTAACACAAATAGTCTGAATCCACAAAACCAGGTTGTAAGAAATGGGACAAGACATTTAAGGCTGGGCTTAAAGTCAGTAAAATATTGTCATGGCATTTCATCTGTGCCAAGAGGGAACACAAGTGCAATTTAGGACTGAAGAGGGTTTGCAAAATCCTGCTGAATGATTTCAAACGTAACACTCCATGTTGTGTCACTCTATCGATATCAGAGCAGATGCTTTCATTTCTGACTGAGAAAATAGCAACTGAGTGCAAATGGGAAATAACTGGCCTACGCCCAACCAAATTAGCAACACACTGGCATTATATTAGCAAATGATGCTTGTACTGGCATGAAAGTAGAGTCCTTGCTGCGTTACACTTGAGGAAAATGGTGTTAAAATGCATTTCGTATAAATAATACTACAGTAGTGCCTGTGCTCAGTTCAGCTTATAACAGTTACAGACAAGGTAATGGTATCTATGATGGTTCTGTTATTCTGTACAAGCCCCGCCCCTTATATTCCATTCCATGATGCATGATGGGAAAGGTTAG